GGAGGGAGGAGCAGGGGCTGGGGTTTGGGCGGGGAGGGGGTGGGTTGCTGAGTGACTGTTGGAGCCAGGGGAAGAGGGAGAGGGAGGGGCCTGGGCAGGCTGTCCCCCGGTTGGCCCCAGGGTTGTGAGAGGACAGCAATAAAGCAAGCGTTGCTGAAGGAGGTATCCTCAGGGGACGGAGGTGCCGGGAAGGATTGAGGGAGACCACCAGTGCGAGAACCAGCTCCTCACTGCTCAGGCTTCCCTGGAGCCTGTTGGCGTTCAGGCCCCCTTTGGAGTTGGTCAGTGACATGAGGGCTCCAGCCCAACCAGAGATGAGATTTTTATCAGTTAGAAATGGTTCCAGTTTGTCTGGCCTCGAACAGTGCTTGAGAAAAGCATCACCCTCCCTGGAGTTATTTAATGTGCAGATGGTTGTCACAAGAGTCATTTAGCAGCAAGCTGGAGCCCTCACCAGCCCATGCGATGCCTGAAACCTCAGGATTTCTTTGAGAAATCTCATTCCCAGACCACTCAGCCCGGGCATCCTGATCCCTAGGTCCACAGACAGACTGTGATTAGGGACCTGGAAAAGCTCCAGACTGTCCCTGCCCCTGTGGGCTCAAGGTCAGGGTGTAATGAGGGCTTAGCCAGCCTCTGGACTCAAACCCTGCCCTCTATACCGTACTTGAGCTATACTGAAATATAGCTGCCCTGTCTCAGGCTTCACCCACCTTGGGAAGCACATAACCAATGTACATCAAGTCCCCAGATTCTAATGGCCCAGAGGCGCCTGCAGCCAGTTATTTCTTGGGGTCCCAAATAGGCCCCTCTTTTGTGCCCCCAAGCTGGTGTGTCTGCTGCCAGCTCATCTGTTTAACAGTTCTGCAAGGCAGGTATAGTTGCCATCACCCCTAGAATTTTATCCTCACGGATTGGGAACCCAAAGCTCAGAGAGGTTGAGTAACTTGTTCCAGGTTAAACAGCTTCCTTTCAGTCATGTCTTTTCCCCTTCTGCACTAGCATCACCTGTTGGTATCTGTTGCTCAAAGCCTCTGGAAGTAAACTTTGCAGGTGCCACCATGGCAGCACCCACTGTGAAACACCAGCGTCCCCATGGCTGTCAGCGCCTGACGCAGAGCCGTGTGGGTCACACAGAGGTGAGAACAGCCTGAGCTGGTCTTCGTCACCTGGAGACTCTCCAGCCGGGACGGTTTTTCCAGCAGCATCCTCGGGCAAGACCTGAGTTTCTCCATCTATACATCAGCAGGTCAATCAAGACAGACTCCCAGGTGCCTTCCAGAGCAGCCTGAGTGTCTGAGTCCGTGCCAGAAGTGGGAAACATTCTGCCACTGTAGAAAGGAAGGAACAGAAGAAAACCAAGAAGCGGAAAGCTCTGAGGCAAACTGCTAGGCCAGGAGCCTGGTTTTGCTTGTTCGGAGAACATCTGAGCTGCAGCCAGCTGGCCAGGCTATCCCTGGGAGCCCAGATCAATCTGCTGCAGGCCTGGCCCAGATGCCAGAGGGCCACAACCCATCTGCCCTGCTGCTCGCCCCAGGGTGGCCACCCCTTCCACTGTCAAGGCTGCCTGCCTGGGGGTTCGACATATCTGGCACAACTGCCCTTGCACCTCAAGAATCACAGACTGATGTTGAAGGGCTCCGCAAGGCGCCAGCTGTGTGGCCTTAGGCAAATCTTTTCACCTCACTTAAGCCTCAGAGTTCCCCTCTATACAGGGCATACCAGCATCTTCTTCAGAGGGCTGAGCAGGGAATAGATGAGCTCCTTGGATGAGCCACAGGAGACCTGGAGCACAAAGGGTTCCAAGTTCATATTTGCTGGATGAGTAGCTGGCCTGGCACCTAGTAGATGCTGAACCAGGGCTACTGCCCATGGCCGGCCCTCAGCACCTGACAATCTAGAAACTCATGAAAGGCCGTCCTTCCTGCCTTCCCCACTACAGGTTCCACAATCCAGGCCTTGTGTGTGCAAGTCCTCTCTGTTTGCAAAAGCAGCAGACAGGGAGCCTAGTGGTCAGCATGGGACTCAGCTCTGGCATTCCCCGCTCCCAGGGCCTCTATTTGATCAAGCCTGGCAGGCCTCACCACCTCCATCACCTGCCGTAGGGAGAAAGGAGAGAAAGTATCCTTCATCTCAACAGCTTTGCCCATCAAATTAGATAGTCTTGCATCTCTTCTAAGCCATGGATCTTGTTAGATTTGACAGTCTTTTAAAGAGATTGCCAAGAAATGGTAAGGAGGGACCTTAGGCTGCACAAGGTGCGGACTGCACACTGCAGTGGACTACCTTCTGTTAGGAAGAGGACAAACAAGTCACAGCAGGAAGGGTGGGTGGAAGAGGCTAAGTGTGGGGGCAGCCTTTGCCTGACACCAAGGAGGAAGGGGTCTCAGTTAAGTGTGGGGCAAGAGGATGCCTCGGACAGCTCCCAGGTGGTTTCTGGCTTGGCTCTGTGGGTACTGATCATACCTACACCTAGGAGAGAAGAGAACGCTGTTGGGAGCGCACGGAGAATTGGGAGATGATTTTGGGTTTGGACATGTTGCCTCTCAATAGAATTATCTTGGAGACAGTTGAATGAGTATGAATCTTAGAAGAGTGGGTCGACCAGTTGTCAGTTTGTGAGCTGTTCACACAGAAGCCTCCAGGATCTGGTTTGAATTGGCCTGCAGAGAATTCACGAGCCTCAGTCTCCTTTACTTAAGCCCTTTCAGCTGGGAGTCCTGTCCAGCCTGCCAGGGCTACAGCCCCGCAGGCCCTGTGCACTCAGCAGCCCCCAGGACCCCCACCCAGTCCAGGGCTGCTGGGAGCTTCCCCCAAAAGCCCTGGGAGGCGGGGCACCCCACCCTGCCTGGGCAGCTGCCCACTTGCTAGCATCTTCCTCATTGGGCCTTCTGCCTAACCATGCCACCCAGGAGACCCACCCAGAAAAATCCATTAGTTCAGCCACCCCAGCGGCAGTAAATGTCTTCATCTGGCTTGAGTTTCCCAGATGGAGAATTTTACAGTCGTACCCAGTAATGACCGTTAGAAAACCATGGCGCTGCTTTAGCTTTCATGTCCAGGAAGAGCCTGGCTTACTCTCCCACTCTTGGGCCCCTTTCCTGCCACGCCCCATACATCAGCCTGAGGCCCAGGGCGAGTGAGCGACCTTGCTGAGCCAAGCACAGGCCTTTTATAGCCTGGTGAGAGCACAGAATCCAGGGACCAGTTTGCTGGACCTTGTGAGTGAAAGCTGGGCCTCTTCTCTCCTACAACCAAAGGAGCATGATGCTGGGTGTGCCATTGGGGTCCCTCTTCCCACACCCTCGCTCACCCTGAAAACAAATGTGCCTGGATAGAACGGGCCAAACACCGGCCAGCCTCACGAGGTTTCCAGGCGCTGTCAGCCCCATGAAGGAGCTGGGAGGAGAGCAGGATGCATGTTTAGCCGTGAGGGGTCTGAGATGTTGGTGAGACACCCACATGGAGGTGTTGAAGGCAGTTGTCCATGCACTGCAGATGTTGCAGGCCTTGGCTGAGATCACTGACCTGGAGGCTCTTCATAAGCTGTTACACTGGTGTGAGGAGCTATTGTTTGTTATGGGGGTGCCAGAATCTCAGCCTCGCTAATCAACACAGCCCTGAGCCATTCCAGCATAAAACTCAAGGTCTCTGTCTGGTCTCGGGAAAAGTCAAGGGCTATGTAACTGGCATGAATTTCTACTCCCAGAATTCAGGGGTACATCACTTACATGGTCAAATGATTTTAGACAAAGGCGCCAAGGCTACACAATGGGGAAAAGATAGTCTCTTCAACAAATGCTGTTGAGAAAACTGGATACCCACATGCAAAAGAATGAAGTTGGGCCCTTACCTTATACCATATACAAAAATTAGCTCAAAAGGTTAAAAGGTTAAAATTAACTCAAAGGTCAAAAAGGTAACAAAAGCAAAAATAGACAAATTGGACTACATCAAGCTTTAAAACTTCTGCACAGAGAAGGAAAACAGGAGGAAGAATCAGGGGTAGTTAGACTAACGGGGAGTGAAAACGGAGGCAGAGAGGGGAAGGCAAGGGAGCATCAGGGAGGTTTGCAGCAGGGCTCCAGGAACGGCGCCGGGATGAGGGCGCGCTGGCTGAGGCCTCAGCCCTCCACTCCCAGGCCAGGCGAGCTGTGCTCTGGGCCCTGCTGCCGCCAGGTTCTGGGTTCCATGACCCAGAGCCCTCTTCCTCTTCAGCATCGCAGTCACTCAGGTCTGGGGGGCTGACATGGGCCGAGGGGCAGAAGGCAGAGGCAGGATGATCTGCATCAGATTCAGAAAGTGCAAAAATGTATGGATGAGACTGGATACGGAAAAGAATGTGCATTGGAGTGCACATTATGTGCAATAAATCACAAGAAATTTATAAGCGGCTCCCTGGAGCTGTGGGGGAGGGGAGAGAGGTGCCAAAAGGTCTAGTGAGCAAAAGGAAGGAAGTAGATGGATAGGATAGAGCCTGTTACCACCGAGTTGAAACATTTGAGATGCCATGATAGTGTCTTTATGTGGTGCGTTGTCTCTGTTGTTTTATTTTAGTGAATATTAAAAAGCATTTGTCCGGGCTTTTGTAAGTTAACTCCCACCCTCAGCCTTATTTTTCTTGAAAGTCTGAAGTTTCTCAGTGGCAAAACTCTTCTGCCTCAAGAGTTTCTAGGTAGTAAACCTTTTTGAATGGGAAAGGACTTGGGAATGAAATAATGAACAGTTAATTGAATAACTAAATGAATGAGTGAGGGATGAGAACGCAGCCAACAGGGGAGGATCCAGAGGAGCAGGGGGGAGGGAGGGGCAGGAGATGGAGCTTTCTCCCCACTCCTCTCCCCTCCCCCAGCCAGCAAGGTGGTGAGCTGGCTGCCCCCAGGCTGCTGTTATGGATGTGGGTTGGGGGGTGGTGACGCGGTGGTGCTGGCAGCAGGCAGGCTGTGCCCAAGCTCACTGGGTTCCCTTCTTAATGAGTCCGTCCTTGTTTTCCTGTCTAGGCCCCCCTGGACGGCGTGGCAAGCCTGGAAGAAGAGGCGATCCCGGTGAGTCCCAGGTTTTCTTAATTACTAAACCCAGGCCTGGAAGTCTGCCCTTGACCTGGGACCTGGCTGGAGGTGCCAATCCTCGCACCACCCCATAACTCAGGACCTTTGGTCCTGGGCCGGGTCTTTGTGTCCCCTCCAATTCCAGCCACTGTCCCCAGAGCTGCAGTGCCCAGTGCTGCCTTTCTTGGCTTCTTGACACCATTCCAGTGTTACAATTCCAGTGACAGTCCCCTCTATGCCCTTGGCCACCCCCCAAATCTCATTATCAGCCTCAGAAACTTTAATCCCTGGTCTCCCACTCTGAAACGGCCTCTTGTCTTTGCGGGACTCGCTACTGTGGGTCCCTCAACACAAGATGGTTCTCCTGTGTGTCCCCATCCCTTCCCTGACATGGCCTGTCCTTCCCTTGGCAGAGGCACCAGGAGAAGATCCTTTCCATACCTTCCATGCAACCTGCAGACTCACCTGTACTCGCCGCCAGCCTCCCTCCTGCCACCTTCATTTCACCCAAAATTCACTCTCTCTGCGTGTACCCTTCCCCCAACTCACAGTGAAGCTTCCCTCAGAGGCTACACACCCCTACCCCACTCCCATCTCCTCTGCCTTGCCTTCCACTCCTCCCAGCCCCTCCAGTCTCTTCTCACTGTCACGCCACTCACATCCTTTTGACCAGAGTTACCACTGACCGCCGTACCAGCAGACACAGATGCGTTGCTGTCTCTCTTCCTGGGCCTCACATTGGCCATTCCCCTGGGTCCCCCTCTGACTCTTGCCTGTGTTTCCTCCCACATCTCTGACCCTTCTCGTATGCCTTTCCTATGGGGCCCACTTGCCTCTTAAATGGATCTGCCCTTGGCCCTCTTCTCTCTCTCCCACCCCTGTGGCTCCGGCACCCCCATAATGCTGATGACGCCCCCACTTCCTGCCTCCAGCCAGTCATCTCCTCTGGACCCAGAGGTTGGACCTGGCCCCAGTGAACCCAGCACTTCCCCCAGCTGCTCTCTTCCAGTTCCCCATTGCAGGGAGGGGGCCTCCAGCCGCCCGCTTCCCTATGCAGACACCAGGGCATCATCCTTGATCCCTCCCTCCCCACTCCCCCGCCAAATCCCCATCAGCCTCCTCCTCAGTGTGTCACAGCACTGTCCTCATCAACACGGCCTCCTGCAGTTCTCACCACTGTTCCTCCCATGTCCCCTACCTCCAGCCCCATTGTGGATGTCTGGGGCCCTCCCACTCTGAGCCTGTACTCTTATGTCCTCCCCACCCCCAGAATGTCTCCTCCTCTACCTGGACTCTTACCCCACATTCACTATTCTTTGTCCTTTCAGTCTAGCTCAAGCATCTCCTCCAAAAAGGCTTATATCTAATCCCTCTGGCTGGGGCTATCACCAACCCAGCCAAGAGCCTGGTGCAGAGGAGGCTCCAGGGAATGGAAATGCACAGAACGGTGAATGAATGAAAGAATACACATGTGCTCAGCCCCTAAGCAAATTCATAAAGAGAGCATGGTGGTAAAGGCAGATTGAGCCTGGGAGGAAAGGGGCAGGTTCTCTCTGAACCTCAGACTCTTCTTCCTGAAACTGGGCACGGGCCTCTTGTCCTCTCGTTTTGCTGCGTGCTTGCGCTATCTAGGTCCCTACATAGAAGCCCTCCAGATAAACTCCCCAGAGTTCACTGGAAGGAAACACCTTTCCTGGCACTCTGTTTGCTTTGACTTCCAGAAGCTGAGGACTGTTTTGTGTTTGATTGCAATGGATTTTGTGTGTAATCACCTCCCTGCACCATTGGCCAAATACACACTTCATCACTCAGTTCTTATTTCTGCCCTCGTAAAAGGTTTTATTGCCTTTTATTGTAAGCTCCTGAAGTCCTTTTTGGAAGAAGATGAGGAATACATAGTGACTTTTTTTAGGACAAAGTATAATATTACTCAACTTACTCAAAAACCCATTAGAATTATGATTCCAATTTACAACTGATCTAAAAGTCAAAGAAAGACAAGGACTTACTGGGCCCCTGACACTGCCCTGGGTCCTTTCAAGTCCTTCATCTCATGTGATCCTCACAGAGCTCTGCAAAAGATAAAAATATGTTATTATCCCCATTTTGCAGATAAGGAAACTGAGGCTCCAAGGGGAGAAGTGTCTCATCTAAGGTCAGCTGCTGGGCAAGGGATGGGCAGCATCTCCTCCCCTTCACTGCCCTTTCCCACGCGATGTCCTGATTCTCTGCCTGTCACAGAATGGTGTGAGTAGCACAGAGCAGATGTCCCTCTCTGATTAGCTTTGGCTGGGCCTCGTGTTTATTTCTAGATAGTTTCCCACACATGCACCTCTTGGCTTTGGGCCCTTCCCTTGTACAAACCAGGCTTTTTTTCGCCCCAGGGAGAAAGGCTCTTTTTGCCTGGTGGGACAATATCTGGCTGAGATGGCTTCTTGCTGCTGCTGCAGACCTGCAGACAGAGCCGACACTGCCCGCCTGTGGGGATGGGTTCTCTCCAGCTCCCAGTGGGAGCCTTTGTCTGGAATATGGCTCACAGGTCCTACAGTGTTTTTGTGTCTCTATTGTAGTGGAGTGGATTTTTCATCTCCCCACTGGCCTATTTCTCAGCTGGGGAAACCGAGCACTACCCTTGGTATTCCCTTTCTAGGGAACTTAGACAGTATTTTTTCTCCTTCCAGACTTCCCTTTCCCCAAGAGCATCCATCACTCTACCCTGGCTCCCCCAGCTCCCTAGATCCCTCCCTCCGTCGCAGCACTCCCTGCAGTGCTGGTGGTCTGCTCTGGCAACATGTCCTTCTCCACCAAAGCACAGGCTCCTCAGAGAAGGAGCTTGACCCGCAGGCACTAAAGATATGGTCGATAAATGCTTGTTGACGGGAAAGGGGGAGGGAAGGGAGGAGGGAGAGAGAAAGAGGGACTTTTTAGGAGGCAGGAAGAGACAAGGATGAAAACAATCAAATCCTGCTTGGCTGATGCTTGTGCTAAAGCTACAGAGACAAAAGGAGGTACTCACCAAATCTCTGCAGCCGCCAGCCTTAGGTCAGCAGTTTTAGTGTCAGGGTTTTTTATCCACCCTGGCCCCAAGAAACCCTTTCTAAAAATACAGTGGAAGAATCACTACTGGGATGGTAGAGATAGGACTTCTGAAAATCTGCTCCTCCATAAAAGCAGCAAGAACACTAGGAAAAATTGACCTTTTCAGAATCCTGGAAATTAACGTCTGGTAACAACCTAAGAAATGTTAATTTAAGAAAAAGGTCTGAAACTTGCTGAGAACAGTGAGGTTTGTAGCATTTTAATTTGCCCATCTCCCCAGCCCCATGGTAGCCTTAAAAACCATCACAGCCTCACAATCACAGTACCTGTGCAAACTAGCAGCCATTGGAGGTGGCAGAACAACTTTGAAGCTCCCCAAATGCTCATTCTCTGAAACTTGTCACTGTCCGTTAGCTCCCTGGAAAAGCCCATACACAAAACTCATCTTTTTTGACCTGATGCAGAGCTCACTTACTGGGAAAAGCCCTATCCCCAGAGTGCTTGCCAAATCCACTCAGCAGCAGTTGTTTAACTTTGCAGCTGCCTGAGGTGGCAATACAAGTTGGAGCAAACAAGAAGCTGACACAAAAACTTAAATGAAAATCTAGGGGATGAGCTGTCCAAAGGGGCTTTGAAATGCTCCCATATACCTGGGGATCTAGAAGACACATGCCCATGCAGGGAAAGACCTAAAAGAGCCGCAGTCTCTCACCTCTGGCTGACCTTGAGTCTCCACTCAAGCAAGAAGTAAAGGCAAAAGCAGAGTTGTAACCTGATAGAGTGTTGAAGTTATGCTCAACACACACAAAGAGCCCCTCAGAACAGAATGGGAGACTTACCAGATCAGGGCATTAAAGAAAACCTCTGTCTTAAGCTGACAATTAAGCAAAGCAAGCAGAGAATTCAGTAGCTGCACATGACAAAGAGTACACATTTCAGAGAATTAGCTCAAAAAACCCCCTGAACAAGCAACAACAACAACAAACCCTGGAAAGGAAGAGGGATATCTAGTTTCCAGAGTAGCCATATTAGATTATTTGATGCCCAATTTTTAACAAAGACACACAAAGATACAAGAAAGTATGGCAATGAAAAAGAAAAGAGGAAAAAAAGCAGTCAGTGAGGAAGCCCAGATGAACTTACTAGACAAAGATTTTATATTGGCTATTATACATATGTTCAAAGAACTAAAGGAAACCATGTCTAAAGAATTAAAGGAAACCATAAGAATTATGTGCCACCAAATGGAGATTATCAATAAAAAGATAGAAAGTATTTTTTAAAGAAACCAAATAGAAATTCTGGAGCTGTAAAGTACAATAACTGAAATGAAAAATTCACTAAAGGGGCTCAACAGATTTGGGCTGGCAGAAGAAAGAATCAGCAAACTTGAAGACAGGTCAATTGAGATGATCCTGTCTAAGGAAGAGAAAGAAAAAAAGAATGAAGAAAAATGAACAGAATCACAGAGATCTGTGGGACACTATCAAGTGTGCCAACATTTATATAATGGGGTCCTCAGTAGGGGATAAGGGAGAGAAAGAGGCAGAAGGAATATATGAAGAATTAATGGCCAAAATCTTCCCAAATATGAAGAAAACATTAATCTGCACATCTAAGAAGCTCAACAAACTCCAAGTAGAATAAACTCAAAGAGATCCAAATCTAAGTACATCATAGCCACATTACCAAAAGGAAAAAAATGAAGAAAGGATCTTTTTTTTAAAAAACACCATGGTGGCCACTTCACCACTGACCTTGGCAACTTCCATGGCCGAGAGCTGGATCCTCCCACTTCTTGACACGCACGGAAGAGAGAATCTTAAAAGCAGCAAAAGAACAATGACTCTTCACAGAAAAAGGATCCTCAGTAAGATTAATAGCTGATTTCTCATCAAAAACCATGAAAGCCAAAAGGCAGTTGGTATGACATATTCAAAGTGATGAAAAAAAGAAAA